CACACAGATCAGCAACTACTACGAGGTGAGTTACCTTCCAGTAGCGGTGGGTCTACGGCCACAATGCCGGCCCACCAGTAGGAGTTGTGTGATGGATGATTGTCTCTGTGATATTCATCTAAGGTTGCTACTACCTGTGATATGTTTATGTGCTAGTATGATATGCTTCTATGAGCTAGTGACAGTAGGGGGAGATAATCCCCAGATTACCGGTCGATAGGGCCGAAGGGGCGGTCATGCCCAGCCATGCTAGATAGATTACGAGATATATGTGTTATGTGGTAGTAGTAGGGGTGAAATAGTCCCCAGTATCCAGTCGAGAGGACCGAAAGGGGAGACCAGCCCCCAGATATGCTAGTCAGTATCCGGTCGAGAGGACCGAAAGGGAGGCAAGCTCCCAGTTATGCTAGACAGTATCCGGTCAAGAGGACCAAAGGGGTAGGTCGGGCACCCAGATATGCCTGACGATATATGCATGCTATGTGATTGTATGGTATGTGGTAGGTTGGGGGAACTTACTAAGCTCCGTGCTTACAGTTTTCAGTTTTGGTTTCAGGTACCTCTTCTTCGAAGGGGAAGGAGCTGGCGCGGTAGCGGTCCATCACACACATGCTTCGTATTCCGCGTCATGAGATATTCCTGGGGGATTTGTACTCTGACATTATTATGTTTTATGAAATGTTTTCCAGACATGCGATATCTTACTAAAATATTATGATCAGTAAACATTTAATTCGAATGTTTTGCTAAACTTATGTTTTCAAAAATGAAATTTTTGGCTCGTATTTTTGGGGTGTTACACCATTTCTTCACTAAGCACTTAATCCTTATAGATCTAAATCAAAAACATCATATCTACTACTTCTTAAAGACTTAATGGATAAAGTTTCCAACTTTATCCGTTAGGACCTCATACAAAGGTAAAATCATGAGCCCTAAGTTCAACAAGCACTTAATATGACCAAAACTCAAACATGGGATTAAGAACACTCAAGCTAAGACCTTTTTATAACGCCCTGATTCTCAGGTATTGTTTTAAATAAGATTTCTTGGGTTAAGCCCTACTCTACGAGTAGCAGCCGGGTGGGATCGCGTGTTAAGTGACCTACTCGACGAGTCCATATTAGGACTCGATGAGTAGGAGCTGGCAGATGAAACCCTAAATCCCGAGGTTTTGCACCTTATTTAAATGAATCGTAGCCTCCCTTGGTCCTCTTTTACAATTCTAGAGAGTCCTTGAGAACCCTAATACGTGTGTATGTGCCCATTATGTGTTTGAAGCTTGAAAAGAGGATCCATGGAAGTAGAAGGCTTGGAGGAGAAGGATATTGGAGCAGGTAGAGTGTGGGAATCAACCCTTATCTCATTTATCATCTTCTAGAGGTATCCAAATCGCCATTTTTCCTGGTAGATCTCTTATATTGGTTGAGTTTAGGGTTTTTGTGGAATATTAAGTTGGTAAGATGAGCAATAGGCTATATCTGAGGTTGTAATTTCAGATCTGGACCCTCCTTGGGTTCTAGAAGCATAAAGTTACAGTTTTGGTCATGATTGAGCTCCCTCTTGAGCATGAAGCTCCATTAAGAACTTAAAATAGGCGTTTAGAGCCTTTATAGCCATGCATGCACATAAAGTTTGCAACTTTACGTGATAAGCATGACCTAGAAGCTTGGATTTATGATCTAGAGCCGCTGCATGGCTCAAAATAGGTTTATATGGAAAAAGGACTGAATGGACTCGGTGAGTCGCAAGGTTGACTCGGCGAGTCACATGAATATGGCTGTGAACTCGACGAGTTGGATGAACAACTCGGTGAGTCTAATGAAGATTGCCATAAACTCGGCGAGTTGAAGAACAACTCGGCGAGTCGGATGAGTTTTCTCTAGGATATGTATGTCTGTGTATCCGTCTAGTTGCAAGGAGGAAACTCAACGAGTGGCCTTAAAGTTTGATCGAAAATTGAAGGAACTCGAAGAGTCACCTCGATGTCTCTGCGAGTTGGAAAGTGCTTCAAGGAACTCGGCGAGTTAAGGTCAACATGGACTGTTGACCTTGACTGAGGACTTTAATTTTGACCGGAGGTTTGACTAGTAGGTTATGGAGTACCTTATAAGATTAAGGACTTATGAGTATGTTGTACTATGATATTAGGTGGTGGAGCCTGTGTCAAGTGATCCGAGAGTTGGAGTTTACTTTTCGAGTCGACATCTACGAGGTGAGTTATCCTTACTATATCGATAGGTTCTACGACACCAAGGTTGGCTCTTTAGTTGTTATTGTTATGGTATGCTACATCTATGATCTGTTAGATCAGAATCAGGGTAGACAGTACGTTATGCTCTTATGATCCGTAGGGATTGGTATGTTAGTGACCTGCTAGGTCGATACTCTAGTTACAGGAGAATTCTATGATTGATGATCAGTGAGATAGATTTGTTTGATGTTTGTATATGCCAGTATATAATAGTTATGCGCACATGGTTATTTGTTTGTTTGTTGGGTTAAGGCGGTCATGCTTTGTGCTGAAGGCCAACATACCCTATGAGCGGTCCGGGGAGACTGTAGGCCGACGTGGCGGACCAGTCATGCCGAAGGCTCAGGATAGATCCAAACAGACTGTAGGCCCGGTAGGGCGATCCAGTCAGGCCGATGGCCTAATATGCATATTGATTGATTGATTATTACTAATACGGTATTGTCAGTATGGTATTGGTATTTTGGGGGTAGCTCACTAGGCCCTCGGGCTTACAGTTTTCAGTTTATTGTTTTAGGTACTTCAGGAGATCATGGCAAGGCGAAGGCGTGACCGTACCGCTCCTCATCCTTATGTTATGATTTTGGGACACTCTGATGGATATTGATTTGAAAACATTTTTGTAAACAAGTGCTGTTTGATTTTTATTTATGATTGAAAAAGTTTAAATTTGACATAAAATTTATGGATGTTACATTTTTTTTCACTAACTTAGAAGTTCAATACCATAAGAAAACCATATCATGCTCTAGAGTTCTTCAAACTCCATGAGCACTCAAGAATGGGACCAACACATCCAAAAATGGGCTCAAACATCAAAGAAGAAACACAAAGCTAATGATATAAACTTTATACCTCCAATAACTCATAAATATGGAGAGGATGTTGGATCCAAGCTTGTTCAAAGCTTCCTTGCACCAAGATGAACTTCTTTCTTCTTCAAGTTTCACTAAAAAGAAGACATTAACCTCAAGATTAAGCCACCAAGCTCATTTCCATGGAAGAGAGGCTAGGGTTTCTAAATGAAGGGATGGAGGCTGAAAAAGAGACCTAGAATGGGGTAAAGATGCTTAAATATGGGGGAAACCCTAAAAATATGTGGATTTAGGCCTGAACAACTGCCAAGCCATGGCGGTCTTACGTCACGCCGTGACGACTCCATAAAACGTCTGTCCCTTATAAACATGGCCTCATCATGGTCATCCTTGTGCCAGGTCGTTGCACAGAGTTTTCTTCAAAACTCTATCTGTATTCCTTTAGGCCAAAAGGCTTACAATCTGGAACACGAGTGTTACAGGGTATTTATGTTTTTAAGGAGGATTTTGATCTTTTCATTTTTCTAGATAATGGCATTATACTCTAGTAGTTACTATTTTTTTATAGAATAATATTTACTTCGTCATTTCCACAAATTTTTGGGATATTGCTTTTGTACCAACAATGTATTTTATTCGAGTATACATTTTCAGGTGCTTTTTTAGGAAAGGATAGTATTATTTGTGTATTTTCCCTCCATAGTTGTTGGTTTTATAGGCTGCATAAGGCCTTTTGTATCTAAGCGAGCGGTGTAGATGGGTTGACACCATACCCCATTAATGTCCAACATATAGACCAACAACTACTTCATGATATGTTGATTGAATTTTACTACTTTCACTAGAAATTAATGTATAACTTCTTAGAGCGATATACAACTTAAACAAACACCCAATTTTGTCATCTCTTTACCATGATCAATTTAACTTTGTAAGCCCACTTTTATCAAAAGTAATATCATGATATCCATATATGAACATGAATTCCATGAACGCAATATCTAATTAGTGATCTAGAACGTGAATCATGAATCGGATGGATCTAAACCCTAATTTGACCGTACAAAGAATGTAAGGGAGGAATTTACCTTTCCAAGCTCTAATGCTCCCGATTTATCTGAAAATCAAGCAAATACACTTTAAATGTCAATCCTTCTCTTCCTCTAATAAATTCACCATAGCTTCTTCCTCTTGATTTCTCCAAAATGTAGGGTACACGAAATGGGAAGGAGAGTGAAGTAACTAGTTCTTATATCAAGTTCTAATCTACTTTGGCAACTAAACCTATAAGTTTGATAGTTTAGGCACCATTTATCCAATCTTGCAACTATACCCTTTTTAAATATTCACAACTAGTCCTTCTCTAGCATTCTTATTACAAATTTGGTCATTGCTTAGTTTGTCATATTCTAATTTGCTTCGGGTATCGACAATATATTGTTTAATAGAATGTTAAATAAGCTTGAACGTAGTTGAGATTTCAATTGATTAAACTCAATTATATTCGGATGATAAGTTGTAGATATTGAACCTAATGAGAAAACATTTTTTTTTAATTTATACAAAATATGTTTCATTCAAATTTGTATAATTATTGCATTGTAGGAATAAGGTTGAAAAAAAAAAGTATAATACTGTTTGTCAAACAATTAAATATTATAAATTTTAAAATATGGTGGATAAAAACATAAAATATTATATTTGTCGTCTTATATGTGAAAAAAGAGAATGTAAACAACAAAAGAACCATATTCAAAAAAGTATTAAATTAACTTTATTCGTCTTCACAATCCACTCACAAGTTTTGTTCCCTTGAAATATCTAGCACGTAAATCACGCCAACACAGTGTATTAAACAAATCCTTGGGTGTATATAAGATTATGTAAGGCCATACACCCCATACACCATTCTTATCTTAAAAAGCATCCCCATGATATCCTCATCAAGCAGCTTCTCCGGTTCCTACTCTTTCACCAAGTCCAACATTGATCAAGAAGGATGGGTTAAAAGCATGCGTAAATCCATCGTCGAACCCGATGATGAAGAAATATCTAAAATTCCGGTTTGTATTTACACTGTCCCAAAGTACTCCTTGCCACTGATCCTGAATCCTATATCCCACAGCAAGTAGCGTTAGGTCCTTTCCACCATTGGCGCGAGGAGGTATACGACATGCAAAAGTACAAGCTTGATGCAGCACGACGTACCCAGAAATTCATGAATACTAGCTTCGAATACATCGTGGAGTCGATGATGAAACAAGATGAGGCTAGAATCCGTGCTAGCTATCATAAATTTCTTGATATGTCTGGAGAGGTACTGGTTTGGATTTTGGCTGTTGACATGGCGTTTTTACTGGAGTTCCTTCGCGTGTATTCCATGAAAGAACAACGTCGAACACTTGAGAAGGTTTCATCCTCGATGTCTCATTTGGTGGATGCCTCCGCGAAGAAACTGTCTCATATGGCGATTCTTCGTGACTTGGTTATGGTGGAGAACCAAATCCCATTGTTTCTGATGAAGACGATGTTGGAGCAAAATCTTCGAGATAATGAAAAGAAATCCGCAGCAGAGACTTTGAAGTTGATGCTGATGGGGTTGTACCACGAGCTTTCTCCATTTAAAGAACAAGAGTTGCCTGATATTGACATCGACGACTGCGATCACCTTCTCGACTTTCTTTACCACATGACTGTACCAAACAACAAAGAACTCCATATCGAAGCCATAGAGGTAGAGTATGAAGGTATCACCGAGGAAACCGGAGATGGTGATCATGATAAAGAATCTTTCGCAAAACCTAGTGATCTTCGACAGTTCATGGATTTTGTCTGGAAAATCCTTTCCAAATCAAACGCTGCTCTCTTAAAGATTTTCAAGAAAATAATTTTCAGCAAGCCAGTTACAGTTGTAATGAAACTGCCATGGAAGATCTTGTCTAACCTTCCTATACTCAAACTCTTCAAAGAACCCGTAGAAACCATGCTTAGAAACTTTCATGGTGGAGGAGAGGAGAAATCAAAAGACGATAGTAACGATTCCAAGGTGCCACTAATAGAGGAAATAAAGATCCCGTCAGTCACCGAAATGGCAAAAGCTGGGATCATATTCTCACCCATTAACGGCGGAATCTTTGGAATCAGCTTCGATAACACAACATCCACACTATACCTCCCAGTAGTCAATCTGGACGTAAACACAGAAGTTTATTTGAGAAACTTGGTAGCATACGAAGCCTGTGTTGCGGCGGGGCCATTGGTGGTGGCCCGTTACACCGAGTTAATGAACGGAATAATCGATACTGAAGAAGACGCAAAGCTTTTGAGTAAAAGAGGGATAGTTTTGAACCACTTAAAGAGTGAAAAGGAGGTTGCGGATTTATGGAATGGCATGAGCAAATCTGTGAAATTAACTAAAGTTCCGAAAATGGATAAAGTTATTGAAGATGTGAACAAAAGGTATGCTAAAACATGGAGAGTGAAATTGTCTAAATTCATGAAGAAGTATGTGTTTGCATCGTGGAGGATTCTCACTTTGTTGGCTGCTTTGTTTCTGTTGTTGTTGTCAACTGTACAAGCTCTGTGCTCTGTGTACAGCTGTGCTCGTGTGGTCAATCAGCTACCAGAAATACCTGAAGGGACTGTGGAGTGACTGTGTTGTGCGTGTGTGTGTTTTATTTAGAAAGTTCAAACTAAAAGCTATTTAGGGCTCGAATTTGGATTGTAGTTTTTTTATTTTTAAATTTTTGCTATTGGCTTTCGCATTAATGTATCTGTATCAAATTTAATAACAGAAAAGCTTAATTTGTGCCTATTACACTAAAGTTTTTCAAAAGCTTATTCATGGTCTCACAAAAAGCATATTTGTTTCCAAGTACGAAAATAAAATTATACTGTATAAAATAACTAATCTTGTAAAACGTTATAGGTTGAAATAAAAATGATAACTCACTACCGGGAAAAAAGGGGTTTCTCACGCCAATTTTCAACGATATTCGGTTGGTAAACCGCTTATCGACATATTTTCGACCGAATTTAGGTGGTCCTAAAAACCCTTGTGGATAATTATTTGTGACAGATTTTCGACGATTTACCGACGGATTTTTTCTGTCAGAAGTATATCCACAAAACGTTCTTTGACGATGGAAGGTATTTTCCAACGAATTACCTATGCATTTAGCGATGCATATTTCTGTCACTAAAATGGTTTTTACTAATCAGTAAATTTAAAAAAAATAGTTTTTTTACCAAAATAAAAAATAAATAAATAAAAAGTCATTACATTAAACCACTACAACAAATACCCCTCTACGATGACACCCATACCGACAGCAGGTAACGCTGCTTCAGATTGGATATGTCGTTACCATAGGGTTGACCATGATCTTTGGACCTCAGAGTCTACACCCACGAAAAGTTGTCGCAATAGGTAACGGGATAAACGAAAACATTTTACCCATGTTTATGAAATATATGTTGATGACTTGTTGATATATATATATATATATATATATATATATATATATATATATATATATATATATATATATATATATATATATATATATATATATATATATATATATGCTTGTAAAAAAATATTTGAAAAATATAGTTGTACAAGAAAACAAAACAACGTTGAGTTGGTTTATATCTATAGCAACAACATGACATCCATTAGTGACGAACCTATGTAGTGCCCGAGGGACCCAGGCCACTACACCATTTCAACCTCGTAATATAAAAAAATTAATTTTCTATTATGTGCAACGTTTTTGAAATATGAATTTCACTGTTATTGTTATTTTTTTGGTGCCACCACTATTCAGACATTATGCATTCACCATCATCGTATAGAGATAAATCGATCATGGGATGGATTATAAAGACGACATGTTGTTGGCATGTGTTGGTATTAATTATTTTTCTAATCTATCTTAAATAAATAAAATGACGACGTTTTGGTTTGGGCTATAGCAACACCATGTCGTTGTTATAGGGTTCTTTCTTAAACATACTCTACATTGTGACCAGTTTCACAATGTCACATGTAATCTCTCTCTCTCTCTCTCTCTCTCTCTCTCTCTCTCTCTCTCTCTCTCTCTCTCTCTCTCTCTCTCTCTCTCTCCAAGCTCCGCTTCGAATTCGACGACCTTCGTTGATGCTGTTGGAAAGAATGTTCACAGTCGTTAACTATTGGTATTTTTTTTTGAACAAGATAATTTTTTTTTATTAAAACTAGTCTAGTAAGTAGTTAGAGTTACAGGACATTTGAGCATTCAATTTTAGGGGTATAACACTAATCAAAACCAGTTCATGGCCAAACCTTTCATAACTCTAATCTTCATCCAATGATAAGCAAGAAGTGTAATCTCACCAAATAACCCAAAAAAGGGCAATAAAGCAACCACTATACCCGCTTGAACTTTCTAAGCAGTGTCAGCAATCGCTTCAAAGAGTCTTGGATCGAATATGAAGTCTTTGGGATGTCACTCTACTACTTGTTACGAACTCTTTCACATCTTTTATTGTATTCTTTTATTGTAGAACACTCAATAAAGATATGCTTCTAGTTTTCGATCTTGCTATTGGAAAGAAGGAATATTGTGGATAGAATATTAAGACTAATGCACTCAATGTTTAAACGGGTGGGAAGTCTACCAAGTCTAGTCTCCATGCCAAAATATTTGCTTTGGTATAAGCAACCTTCTTCCAATTAGTCTGAATCAAGTTCTGATGCAACAACATGACATGTGTTGGTATTTAATTATTTTTCTGATATTTCTTAAATAAAAAAACGATGGCGTTTTGGTGTGGGCTATAGCGAATCGTTGTAGGGTTCTTTCTTAAACATACTTTACATTGTGACCTGTTTCACATCGTCGCACCTCTCTCTCTCTCCCCCATCCCTTTCTCTCTCTCTCTCCAACTTCCGCTGAGGCTATTGGAACGAATGTCCAGGATCATTAACTATTGATATTTTTGTTTTCAACGACATAAACTTTTATTAATATTGGGCTAGCGGGTAGCTAGAGTTACAATACATTTGAGCATTCAAATTTAAGGGTATTACACTAATTAAACCAGTTAATGGCCAAATGTTTCATAGCTCCAACTTTTATCCAATTATAAGAAAGAAGTTTAATCTTACTAAATTACCCAAAAAAGAGCAAGAAAAACAACCATTATGCCCGCTTGAACTTTCTGGGCAGTAACCATATCAGCAATCAATTCAAAGAGCCGTGAATCGAATATGCAATCTTTGGGATGTCATCCCACCACTTGTTAGTAAGGCTTTCACTTCATTTATTGTAGAACACTCAACAAATATATGTTTCTCGTTTCCAGTCTTGATATTACAAAGAGAGCAAATGGTGGATATAGTATTAAGACCAATGCACTCAATATTTAAACGGGTGGGAGGCCTACCAAGTCTAGTTCTCCATGCCAGGATATTTGCTTCCGCAGGAGAAACTCTGTTCCATGTAGTCTGAGATTCTGGTCCAACAAAGAGTCATCAATTATCCTCCTAAGAGAAGGGAACAAGTATATTTCATCATTATCACCAAGCCACGACGAAGTACCATTTTGATAATTGAAGAGCTTGTTGAGTCCACATTGTGGTCTAATATAAGTCGAGGAATATGATTAATGGTACCCCACGTCCCTTATCTTTTAGCAAAAAATCAGTCTCGATAAATGCCTCCATCGGAACCATGAATTGATGAATAACATGCTTCCGAATAGATCCATGATCGTATCTAAACCTTCACCACCATTCCCATGGAGCCATATCTATATTAAATGCCACATTTCCTATCCCAACGGTCCTTTCGGGTTTCCGTCATGACCCATTTGAGGAATTGAAAGAGAAAGGAATTAAGGAGAAAAAGCATTGTATTGATTTATTATGTTTAATAAAGTAATTAGAAACTATTTTTTAATTAATTAAGACTTAATTAATTTGAGGTGTTGAATATTAACGAATCCCTACGGGAAAATGAGGAATCAAAATTTTACATTATTCCATACACTACAAGAAACCATGTCATTTTCGGCGACACCTTTATTGGCGACAAAGACTTTTAACGGCGACTCAAGCTTGACTCTCTGCTAAAAGTTTTTGTTGTCGGTAAAGCATCACTGCTAATGCCTGTAAAACACGATCCACATCAAGCCTTTTTGTGAAACATTCTATATTCGGTCTGTGTTCGAACTGTCTATAATCCAAGAGTTGGTGGCATCCGTTTTGTATAAATCAATAGTGACGACACCAATACTAGCGACAGTGTCACTGATAATAGTCGAAAAAAACCCACAATATTTTTCCTCTTTTTTTCGTCATCGTTTACTAATTGTCGTCACTATTCATCGATTCTTTCTGCTCTTTAGTGTCGTCGATATTACTTGTCAAAGATATATCCAGGTGTGACTGTCTATCTTCTCATTTTGTTTCACTTTTCTTCCTCTCGTTTTTCCTCTAAATTTCCACCGATTCATGCCAAACTATTGGTGAAGGTTACTATGAAGCTACCCCAAACTACCCTATTGTAACATTATCGATGAAGACTAAGGAGGTACCGAAAACAATTGTTTCTTCTCCAGTGATTGTTGTTTAATTCCGATGACTAAGGTGAAATTCTTTCCTCATTTGTCTTTCTCTTTCTCTTGTAACAATGATTTCCAGTTTATATAGGATTTAACTGCCAAAAAAAAATCATTGATTTCAGGTTGTTTTAGTTGTTATGGTCATGGGATCCACTACCATGTACGACAATGCACCACCTTGTTGATTTTCGGTCACCATTATTAATTTCAGGCCACCACAAGTTCCTTCCTCTATTAATTTTCAGATTATTTGCAAAATTTGTGTACTTATGTCTATTATGTGAAGTTTTCCATATATGTGTATATATGATATATATATATATATATATATATATGTGTGTGTGTGTGTGTATTTGCATAGTATATCTATCTAAATGTAAATATAATGTGTATTTATATGTATGAAGACATGAATGTGAAATATTTTATGTCTGTATATTCCACATTCATGTCTGTATATTTTATGTATATGTGCATTTGTATGTATATGTGTGTATAATGTGTATTTCTCTATATGAAATATGGATTGTATGTATGTATGATATATAGATTGTATGTGTGTATAACTTATGTATGAATATTTGAATTTTGAAATGTAATGTACATATTGCAATGCTATAGTGGAAAAAAAAATAAAGTAGGATGCCATTATTGATAATGGTTTTTAAAGTATATGTGTATTTGTATGTAATGTGGATTGTATGTATGTATAATGTTTATTTGTATGTATGAAAACATGAAATTATATATGGATACCTGAATTTATATACAATGCTTAAATAGAAAAAATGTAATATTTAAAGTATAATGTTGTTATAGAAAACTTAAAACAAATCAAATACCATAAATAACAAAAATATACAAAATTAAGATGTTATAAATAACAAAAAAAGTTCCAAATTTTATTCGTTTGTTTGTCTTCATTCTTATTACCACAAGCCTAGAAATATTTGTTTGAAATTGATTTAGAAAATCATTTCAGGCTTTCCTTGTTTTGGGACTTATTTTTGATAACTTTTTCCTATATAGGATGTGAACATGTAT